ATATATATATATATCTGTAGAAACCTTTAATATAGAATTTTGTTACAACCTATAATAATGAGGTGATTCATTGTGAGAAGTGAGCCATTATTGTCAACAATCTTCACCTTAGTAAAGCTTTCTCTCTGACTGATACTTCCTCTATTGTGTCTTTTAAGCACTAGAAACTTTAGAGAAGTTGATCAAATTCAAATAATATTGGAACTTGATCACCACACTTAACATTCAAATCAAATTTGCAATCTAAATTGCAAAAAATTTATATATCATTCTATTACTTCATTTTGAATAGAGTGGCACTCAACATTGATATGTTTGGTGCAACTGTTGCATAAAATTTGTGTATTTTCTTGAATGCCTTCACAATAATTGATCAAACTTTGAGGCCAAATAACTTTATTAATTGCTTTTCTTATCACCATATAAGTGCTTTTGTAATCAACAAAGCAATTGTTGATTGTAACATTGATCTCTAACTCATTGGACTTGCCATGTAACACCTAAATAGTTGTCGATCGATGCTAACCAAAATCACCAACAAAATTAGAATCAACATATATCCAATTAGATTATTTGTAGTTGTCTTACTATTCTTGCACATTATACAATTTGACACCTTTTCTTGAATATATCATTGAGTTCACTTCATTGCATGGTGGTGACCTTTATTGGGATTATACATACATTAACTTATAATATTGGCAATGTGTAACATACAAAGTTTTGGTCTCGCTATTCCATCTATCAAAACCCTTACTGGATTTGCATATGGGATAATCTACTTCTACTTTTTTAGTCATCTCTACTTAGAGACAATGCGTTAATTTAAAATACGAGGCTAAAAGTTAACTCACATATTATTATTTTTATTGGCATAAAATTTTTGGGCTTTTTGTCTTCGATAGTAACTCTATGCCAAGCAGGTAGTGTCTCTCTTATTGTCTTGTTTGGATTGCTATCCGAAAAAGTTTCCTGAACTCTCTAAGATTTTTAATCGAGTCCGTTGTCACATGCTACTTTTTGATGATATCATTATATCATCAATATATAAGAGTAAATAGTTAAACATTTTTGATTTTTTTTATAAAGCTATTAAATCATTAATATTTTTTTTTTGGTTATTGTTTTAAATTATCATGTGGCTTGCTTAATTTGAATGCCTAATTTTCATCTCTATGATCTTTAAATCATCTTCCTTATTAACAAATTAAGTTGTTCATTAAAAATCGTTAATAAATGAATGTGACACGTATACATCTATATATATGTATGTATGTATATAATTGATTCAAGCTAAATATTTTTAATGGTTGCTCATTTATTATGAATTGATTATGAACTAAACAAAAAATTGACCAGGATTTGAAATTATCCAATCTTCATGTCAAGCGCATGGCCGGAATTTTTTTAAGTGGAGCCAAAAACTACTAATTTTAAAATTATACCTAACAATTTTTATTTAGTCTTTTAACATATATCGTTTTTGATATATGTAATCAGATTATCATTCATCAAAGCATTTCTCATATGATTGTGTAAATGATTTTTAACAATAATCATAACTGACAAAACTTGTTCTATTAATATTAATATCAAAACAAGCTACTAAGTATACTAATAGTTAATTATCATTTTTTAATGCAAGCTCTCATCTTATATCAATGATAAAATTCTTAAGCTAATATTCTAACATTATAATATCTATATTCGAAATATCATAATTTTAAATTTTGGTGGGATATTTTAAATATTTCTTATTAAAAATTACAAATGCATTATATGAATTTAAACATGCTAGACAAGAAAATAACTCAATATTTTTCTCAATGAATCTATTCTTGAGATCATGAATGTCGGCACTATTTTGGTTGGAGGAGTTGCTCGTTGGAAGCTGTCGGTCGCCAGAATCGAAATATCGTCGCCCGATTCAGAAAGACATTTAATGCATATATATATATATATATATATATATAGCTAATATAAATATATAAGCTTAGAAAAATATGAAATCAAACTGACCCCATATTTTTCATAGTTTAAATGAAAAAACACTATACCGAGCACTCAACCTCAAATCTCGTATTTGTCCTGAAAGACAAACACAAGACTTGAGAGTAAGACTCAATCAAATAAACTAAAAAATATATGACATATGTTTGGTCTGCGAAACCATTTTTATTTGTCGACAAGTTCCCCTATTTAATACGAAAAATTAAATAGGGGTTTAAATTAAGCTTGGTTCGAAAAAGTTTTCTATAAGGACAAACCTCTATAGTTAATTACATCTTAGATAACTGAAGTCACCTAAGAAAACTCTCGATAAAAATCAGGGAATATTATCTTCAAATAATTCAAAAGAAGAGGACATTTCAACGAAATCAGACAAAGATGTGTGAAATGAGAATGACTCAAATTTGGAACATTTATTGTAGAAACCAAAGTAGAAAAAACTAGAGGATGTTATAGATCCAGAGGAGAACCTCGGTGACTTCCCAATCTATCCTAGTGTTTGGTTTCAATTTCGAGGATAAATTATTAAAGTATTTCATCATATCAATTTTATTAACTTAGGGCTTACATTTGTGTAAAACGATCGCACAAATAGTTTGAAAAATGTGAGGATTTAGGTCATGAAAAATGACAACCTCGGAATTCTAAGACAAGTTGGGGCTTATATTGTATAGCTGAGCTTGTACAAAAGTCTAAGGATGAGTTGAAAATTTATGTTGCATAAACTAACAACCTCGAAATTCTATGGCTTGATTATTTAAATCTAATAAATGATTTAGCTGGTGTAGACATGTTATGCGGTTGAAGATGATCGTGTTGCCTACAATGCTAGCTCCAAGCTCCTCGTCGTAGTACATTCGAGTTCGATGTTAGTTCTATGTGTACATGCAATTGTTGAGTCAACGATCTGCTGCCGGGTATCTCCTATGAAACCAACTATTGGCCTCTTATTCTAAGGTATAGTGTGTAAGAGAAACAATAATAGGTACTAGTATAATGACAAAATTTAAAAAGAAGCTAGCATGCATTCTATCAACAAAAGAACTACCACCTGGAAAACTCAAGAAAGAGCGACAAATGACTCGCGATGAAAGAAAACTCGAGAGAATTGACAAATGACTCACAACGGAAATCTCAAAGCAACAACAACAAATGAAGACTTAAAGAAAGTCACCGAAAACACGGAAAGATCCCGGAAAAAGACCATGAGTGTTTTACCAAAAGTTTCAATAAAATCACACGAAAAATCCGAAGAGAGAAAACTGCAAGCACTCGGGTCGGGGGTAGACTCAGATACTATATATTTATACTCGAGGGACATCGGAGGCTACTATCAATCACTCGAATGTATAGAGTCCGACACTCAACTAGAAGGGTGTCCTACTAAACCTAACTTAGGAGAGTACTCATTAGCCCGGTACTGGTAATCAACAAATGGACAATTAAGTTACAATATATTTAATTTTTTTTATTTTTAGCATGCATGAGGATTTCAGGCATACAAAAGGAAGTTGTATCAATCTTGTGGTAAAAATATTTTTTTTATAAATATTGTATTTATTCTTATCATATCTGCTCTTATCAAATTTGAAAATTATAATTGTCCACGAGTTGATCACGCCGTCGGGCATAAGACGACCAACATCCTAAGAAGGTACGGGTCCCCCGCTAGTCTTATGTCGGTGAATGATATTATCATCATACGGTTCATCAGGTCCAAAGACTGAGTCCTGATATCGTAGGATGAAATATCATTTCGCTCTACCACCGGCGTGCCTTTGTCATCATCGCTCTAAGCCCCAAAACAAAACCGACCTACTTGCGACCTTGCTTGATAGTTTCATATATAGTAAAAAACTATACATGTGCACTTATGTATCAGACATAAGCACCTAAAACCCGAACCAAGAAGCAACAAAAAAACAAACCAAAAAGTAACAAAGGAAAAGAAAGAAGACTAACCCACCTCCAAATTCGCACCTAAAACCCGAACCAATAAGCAAAAAAAAAAAAAAAACCAAAAAGTAAGAAAGGAAAAGAAAGAAGACTAACCCACCTCCAAATTCAATTTAGAAAAGAGGGGTCAAACGGTAGGAGAGTTAATCTAAAACATCCAATTGACGGGACTTTCTCGAATAAGTAAAGAGATGGAGCACACTCCCCCAGGCTAGCCAAAAGACATTCCCAAAAGGCATAACTTAGAAAATCTCCAAATCACCTCCAAACTCTCACAGATATCATAAAGGTTTCTTCCCCCTCTCTTTCTTTTTTTCTTTTATTACAATCAAATCGGCCCGCAGAATTAGGCCCCGAGACATTTCCGAACACCTGACAACATATTCCTCAAAAGGGGCATTTAAACTCTTCCAAACAACTAAAATTAAGATATTTCAATTTACGAAGATCAAGACATTCAATTTCACCTCGAACTAAAAATTTTCAATGCCGATACGAAACTAACATCATCTAAAAATCTCATATAGGTGCTCACGGTCAGGACAGTAAGAAACCACGAAATCAAGCTCTAAAAAGAC